CCAGGTGAGCTCTCTACCTCTGAGACACAACCCCAGCCCATGTATTTTAAATAATTTTAAGGTTTTACTGTTTTTGTACTAAATGACATTCTAGGTCGCATTTAATTATATTCATAATAGCACATTTAAGTGTGGCCAGTTGAGTTCTTATACAATATTTTATACTTATTTTTTTCATTTTCAGATAAATGTATTTTAGAATACAGTAGCTTCAAGCTGACTTTAAATTAGTGTGATGTGCAGACTTTTTTTTTTTTGGTTAAAAAAAGAAATCCCATCTGGACAGAAAATGCTAGAGTGAAGTACTAGTAGCCAGGAAAATACAATTTTTTAAATATAAAATTAAGTTTGCTTGCTGTATAGGGATTCACGTAAGATCAAAATTGTATAGACTGATTCCAACAACTTTTAAAGACTTACAAATGAATATATGGCTTGAAATTTAAAATTTATTCCAAAACTAACTTGTCTCAACCTACTCAAGGTTAGTATTCAAATTCATACAATTAGAAGACAGATATTTAAATTGTGTTTGAAGTTTAATTTTGTTAAGCCTCATTGCAGAATGGGAATTAAATTTGGTAGGATGGTACATGAAATACATTTCATAATTTCAGAGAAGTTATTCAGTTTTCTGCTAAGTGTAGAGACCAAATACAGAATAAACTGTTTTTCAAATCAAAATTTGCAAGACAAAGGACAATTGTATTGTGCATTTAAAATTCTAAGGGAATCAGATTCTGGAGCATAAACCAGTAAAGAATTTACATAGTGAAATTTTTTCATGACAATATCACTTTTCATCACTTTTTAGTCAGGAAGCTTGGTGCAGATAATAAGAAACACATTGGCAATTTATAAAAATTGGGGACGATGTCAGTGGATTTCTTTTGTTTTCACTTATTACTTCATAAATTTATAAGGGTGTTCATTGATATTATATGTAAATATATCTAAGCATCTACTTTAAGGTGGTGGGGAATTCATACCTCTTTTTGTTGTCTGTCATATTTAGGGGGAGAAGTATAAATATATAACATCTTTCCCTTTTCTTCTACTACATTTATATGCTTTCTTAAAAAAATTAACAAAAATCATCTGTGAACAGTGTACTTGAAGTGCATACTTAATCGCCAATTTCACAAGCCAAAAGAATGCTTTTACTTTATTAATGTCAGGGAATAGTGGAAACTGTACCATTTCTTTAAAAGTAAAGGATTACCATTATATGCTTATACTGATGCAGGCAAAAAATAGTTTCAACTGCTTCTATCAGTATCTGTAATAGCATTTTTACTAATCATTGGAGAAAATAGCTTTGTTTGTAACAAGGTAGTTTAAAAAGCACCATCACTTAAAAAGGTAATCTAAGCTATCTATGTAATTCCTACTTGCTTTATAGTGGAAATACAATGCTTGTGTAGTTACATAGATTTTTCTCTTAAAATACCAGTTAACCATTATTGTTAATAGGAACCAAGTCTATAGTTCTTAACATGATGTAGGTGACAAAGAAAATGCTTTTTTTAAGAAATTAAACTTCACTGAAGACCAAGATAAATTTATTTCTCATCAAAGGTAACTATGGAAGGGACTGATCTGCAATTACAGATTTTAGCAATTTTTTGCTATATGAAGGGGAACTTGTCCTTGAGTAAAATAATTTTTCATGGTTGCCTGAAATGGGAGTGTTCTTACAATTAATTTATAGGGGCTGGCACATCTCTAGGTTGGCTTTTTTAATCAAAAAGAAAGTTAAAGATTGGAAAACAGATCATTTTCCCCCTTTTACTACAGTTTTGCTCTAGGCTGCTTTCATGCAATATTCTCTGTTGCATGTTTTCTATTTGACAAATTTAAATAAAAATTAGGATCATTCCAGATTGCAATGTCACCTCCCCAAACTTCCTGGGTGGAATGTATCAGAACAAAAGCTTCCTTAGTTGTCTGCATTTAACTTACTAGGAATAGGTCTAAGGACGTCGGGGATGAGAATCTCCACCAAAGCCTGGTACATCCCATGGTCACAGTTACACATCCATTTCAGAATAGACTCATGTTTGCACAGAGTTATCAGCTTTGCTTTCGGTAGTCGACTTTCTATTTCACTCAGATTGCTGGTGTGAATAAATGTAGCAAATGAATAGATGGCAAATGAGGATAAAAAAGAAAATGGACTTTAAAAATAGTTTATCAAATATTACTGAGGTTAGAACTATACCACCACTGTACTGGTGCCATATGGCTGGATATATATATATATATATATATATTCCCCCAGAGCTGCCTATACACATTAAAATTTTCTGATAGTCTGAAAGGCAGATATGATAGCAATTTCATGAGGATGAAATAGCTCTACTGTAGTCCCCCATATCAATAAAAATGGGAGCTATATATGTGTGTGTATAAATATATATATACACACACACTGAAACCTCAAGAGAGCAGTTTGTGGTTTATTTCTAGGATGGCCAAAACATTAATCTATTCACTTTATTTTATCAGTAAGGTTCACAACTGGTATACATATCTCTAATTCATTAGCTGTAACACCTACTCACTCATGAAAATGAATTGGAAAAGCATATTGATTCTGACCTTGATTCGGTAATAGTAGTGCCATCAGTTGGAGTAGAGGGAGAATAGCGCCAGAATGTTTGCCACAATTTTTCTATCAAGCTAAATTGAAGATTCACAACAACATCCAATATTGCCTATAAAACAAAATGGTATCAGTATTACCTCACAATATTACTTACCGGGTAGGTGAAAGAGCCTAATGAGACTTTATATGGTAAATATCTCATTGGGTTCATAAGTTAACAAATAGTGAAAGTGAACTAAATTTTACCAATGGAAGTAAACAAAGTGATTAACTAGAAAATAAAAGGAAAAATAACTCTTGTAAAATTAAGCAGGATAACTTGTATTCCTTCTATAATGGCATCATATCCTAGCCTCGCTTTCACCTTTCTTTTCTTCTCCATTTTTATGCTTGTTTTTCTTTTCTCCATTTTCTTCCTTATTTTTCTTTTGTTCCCTTTCCTGCTGCTTCCTTCTGCCTCTATCTATTCTCAGACCAGGAACAGTATAGCAAGTGATCAATTCACATTTGTCCTCTTTGGGCTAAGTGACCACTGGTCATCAAATGGGGCACAAGAGTGCTGAGGTGCTTCTCTATGGAAAATGGAGTTAGGGTTGAATTAACTCTTCTAAGGCCACTGACCAGGATGTTCCTAGCCAGAGAGAGGCTTTAACAAAGTATACAGTCATCAGGCCTTCAGAGGATGGCACCTAACTGGGTAGAAAAGGATACAAGAAGCACCCTCCTTTGGTCACACAATGCCTTCCCTTTAACATCAAAGAATCTAACCCATCTCTGCACACTTCCTGTAGAGAGCAGCTTTAAGACTAACCCCTTTTTATCCCAAGGGTCCTCACCTTCATTTTCTCCTTAATTTTAGTTTTTAGAACCATTTTCCAGATGCATCAAGGAATTTTCCTTTTCTTTATTTTCTTCGTGCTTTTTATTAAATGATGCTAAAATATATTACTTTTTCTATTAACTTTGATGATGACCAAATTTAATCTCACTCTACCATTACAATTAATTTATAAATTAGCTGTTAGATATGAAGCCAAAAGGACACTTATTTATGAAAAGACACACGATTCTGTGAATATTTTGAGCCTTTAAAGACAGAGGTAACTTATATGCATGTATAATGTGGAGTCATCAAAAATTGAGAACCAGAATACGTAAAAGAGCCCCATCAAGATCTTCAAAATTCACGGAAGGCAGAGAAAATTGGCCAAGTAGAGTCTGTCTGAATATTTTGGGCAAAAAGAACAATAATTTATATTCTATAATTTAATAATTATAGAATTGTGCTATTTATGTAGAGATAGCCCTATACATGATACACAGAATAGCTGACTTAAAAACCTAAGACTAACTCAAATATTTAAAAAAAAAATCTGTTTAGAGTTACTCTTTTGGGAATGAGTAGGGAATGCTGCAAGTAGTTAGTTGGACAGTGAAAATGAAGTCAATACATTCCTCAGCAACATTCAAAAATATAAAACTGAGCTTTGAGCAGGGAGTGGTAGCATTTGTCTGTATTCCCAATTACTAAGCAGGCTGAGAAAGGAGAATTGCAAGTTCAAGACCACTCTGGGAAATAGCAAGACCACATCTCAAAAAAAAAAAAAAAAGTTAGTAAAAATTAAAACAAGCCCTAAAAATAAAGGACATACAGATGTCCCTTAGCCCAAACAAAAATAAAAACTTTCTCCAAAAGCAAATTATTATAGTTGCTTTCCAAAAATGCAGTTTAGGCATACCAAGAGATATCTCTAAGTGTGAAGCAGCTATTATATTTTACATACCTCTACTATGAGACTGTTGTAAGAACACTATCTATGTATATGTTAAAAGAAAAACATATAGCTGGAGAAAATTGTGTAGAAAATTGTACTTGCTCCTTATATAACAAAACTAGTGACATTTATAAAATCTTTGATAAACAAATTATGAGAATTCCAAATAATAAGCAAAGTAGGATTATTAGTCTTTCTTTAAAAATATAAACTGTAGGAAATGTGCAATAAAGTAAGGTAAATAAAGGGGTTCAATGCATCTTATATTCAATATATCCTTGAATTAAATAATCTCAAATAACTCTTTTGAAAAGGACATCAACATCAACCTCATTTGAGGCAGTTTTACAAATGAATAAAACATTTTATTATTTGTCCACCCACTTTAAGATATAAATTAAAATAATTCATATTCCACTGACTTAGGGCAAAGGATTATTTACAGGATTGGACATGAGATTTAGGGAGCTGTATTCCAAAAATGTAAAAGTCTGAGAGGAAAAAATAATTAGAGTATTTCTTTACTATGTACACCACCCACCCCATGAAAAGTGGCACAGACACTTGTGACTTTGAAATGAATAGGGATTATTTTATGGGCCATCATTTCCCACACAGATTAATTATTATACATGTCCTATCTCTTCATGCAGAGTATATTTATTCCTGACAATTGGTATGTTCATGAAAACTTTATAATCCAAAACATATTTTCACCTTATTGGAGGAGTCTCTTACTTAGAATAATCATACTGCAATTCTTTAGGAAGTAAATAATCTTACAGTATATTTATGCTCAAACTTACATTCTGAATAAATATGAGAAACTTTTTTTAAAAATTCAAACTATATTTTTACAGCCTGGTTGCTTAAAGCAGGGTTCATTTGAGCACAGAGAAACAAAAACTTGTTTAGAAAAAATTGTACACAAACTTTCATTGAATTTGATGACAGCTGTAGAAAGAATTTTTCCCCATGTATATAAGGATAATCCAGAAATTTTCTCATCTTGGCGAAAGCACAACAGTCAAAGGTAAATGACACTAAGTAGCTTTCATCATGCAAAGAAATGTTGGGAACTGGTAGGGAATACTGAAGAACATTTCTGGCACATACTCTGCTAATAAGGAGAGAATTCACCCTGGTTGTCAATAACTTAGCATCCTTGACGAATACTTCGATTCACCCAAGCAATTCTTATTTCTGGAGTGGGAAAAAAAATCTGTGAGTGTTATAAGCTGAAACTTCTTACTGCACATTGCATTGTCAGCAGTCAGGAGGACTATCCCAGATATTCAACGGATAATCTTCAACTTTTAAGCAAATAACAAATATCCTTGGAATACAGCTATTTAAATTCTAAATAGAATCCTCTTTCAAAAGAAGAAGCACTTAAGAAAACTCTGTAATCCATGATGCCTTCCCTACCAGGTGAGTTGCAGATTTATTAATATGCTGGCATGCAGAGAGCTCACCTTCTAGACTACATCATGTGGGAAGGACAATAGGAACAGGGATCAAAAACACCAAGAGAAACTTAATTGACCACAAAAAATGAAACAAAATTAGAGCCTCATGCTCCCTCGAAGGAAAACCTGAAGTGCTTTATTGAACATTTCTAGAAATCATTTTTAATAGAAATACACCATGGTGTAAAATTCAAAAGGATAAAGGACACACTAAAAAAATCAGTCTTCTGATTCCCAGTCATTTGGTTTCCTTTATAAAGACAATCACTATTAACATTCTCTTGTTCTTTCTGGAGAAAGAACTTAAAAGAAAATATGCTACATATAGTTTTACACTATGATTTTTCCTTTAACATTAAATCCTGGCACTTGTTCCATTTTAGTATATTTAGAGTTGTCTGTTCTCTGGCTGTACAGTACCAGATTTTTATCTAGTTCCCTATTAGATATAGCCAACCTTTTAAATTAAAACGAATAATGCAACAAATTCCCTGTACACTTGTCTTGTCACCCATATGTAAGTATTTTTGTAGGATAAATACCTAGAAGTGGAATTGCTGCATCAAAGGATTCAGATTAGGATAGGCTTAAGAAATGGAGAATAAAATGTACTCTCACTTTCTTGCATTCCTCACCTCTCCACTCTGAGACAAGAAAGAAGAAAAATGAATTTATTAGTGCTCAAAGAAATGCTCAAAAGAATTAGTACTAACTTCATGTGTACTCTAGGAAAAAGCTTGATTATTTTGCTTTAACAAATTTTCTGGCAAAACTTAGCGCATGTTCATACCACGTTTGAAAAGACTTACCTCACAGTGCTCTCGATAAAGACTTTGCAGTGACTTGATATCCTCAAAGGTAGTACCATCTGGCAGAGAAGAGATTTCAACTTCTCCAAACTCTGGAAGTGCTCGAGATGCATCTGTTACCATGACAACATAACAGAAAAAAGCTTCTGTGGATAGTGTCAATTACAGATTAATGAGGAAAAATTTCAGAAGACTAAAAAGAAAAAAAAAAAAATTAGGTCAGAGGGCCAAAGAACAAGGACTTTTCAAATTAATATTTTGCAAGCAAAACTTAACATGATCAGCACAAAATATAAGAATAGAGGGTACACACTTAGGAATTTTTAGAAATCAAATTTTCACTCCAGTTATATCAGAAATCCTACAGCCCAGGCCTCTATTAAAAGAAAATATTTCAAGCTTGCTGGTATCAAATTTAGTTATTTTCATTATCATGCTACTTAACTGCACAAAAATAAATGTAGCCTTAAATTTATTATGTTCAGATAATATAATCAGAAGCCAAGAGAGTTATGAAATACAAAGAAAACCATAAAAATAAAGTTAAATTTAACAACATTAATTTGATGTAATGGATGATACTATTGTCCTATAACTAAATTACCTCTTGTAACATGAACATGGGATCGGCTGTTGCAGTACAGGACTTTTTGCATTTGATAGGCCTATTCCAACATATATTACATGATTGGTACTTCGCCCATTATTCTTCTGCATTCAAATGACTGTGAAACTTGCCTCCACAAAGAGAATAGGGGCATGATTTAGCCTTCCCTTGAGAGGAAGGCATAATTTACATAGTCTCTTTCTGTTCTTTTTGTTGTTTTTTTTTTTTTTTTTTTTTCTTTACTTTTGGAAATTTTTCGTAAATACACTTTGGTGCTTGCTTTATCATAAACTCAAATATAAATGTGGCAAGTAAAACTGCAGAACTGTATTTAGTTTTAGCTTTTAGGCAAAATTCAGGACATGATTTCATTATTTTTTGACATTATTTGAAATTAATTGAAAGCTCAAGGGTCCACAAGACTATATCTAAGGACTTTAATTTGGGAAATACTGCCATATTTTCAACTTCAGTAATTATTCCAATTTGAGAATCTCTTCCAGTTGTCTTTGTTGGAAAGTGCATATGGATACATATATACACACACATAGGCACACACACTCTCTGACTGCATCTATGCAAGTTGATATGTTGTATGAACACTATGCATGCTCATTTCCAGAAGAATTCTGCATTAAATTTAACTGCTACTTTTGCTCTTAGGCTATGGCAGTAATATGTAAAATGTTGTAGTTCTACTTCCGAATTCTTTCAATAACAAGAAACATAGACACTATCTAAAAATTACAAAAATAGAAAGTACTAGGATCAATGTAAAAGAATAAATTACTTTTTTAAAGTTTAATACAATTTTCTTCTAATCTAATACAGTCTGCAAATACAACTTTGTACACAGAAAAAGAGAATTCTTTTTGGTCCTTGAAATAACTACTGCAAGTAAACAAAGCATAATTTTAATAACATAAGACAATTAATATAAATTCTGGAAAATACTTTTATAGCCTTTAATGGATTATGCATTTCAAAGTCCTACTTTGCTCAAGCCTTTTAAAAATAAAGTTCAAGTGGGAAAGTAGAGATGAACTAGAACTATATGATGTACATAGTTTCAACACCAAAACAATCTTTCTATGTAATTAACATCTGTAACGGACATTGTACTGGGAGAAAAGAATTATTGTTCTCTTCAAAATCCCAAGAGCAACTAATAGGCAGTACACCTTAACATACCTAAAAACTGTTGATGATGTTGACTTTGGGCAATTACAGTTTGCTCAACAGATGTGCCTGTCTGTTGACCACTTCCTGTGAAACCATCTGCAACCCCATCCACTTTCTGCATAGGCTTGTACCTAAAAATATTAGATGGAAAAAAAAATTATTCCTTACTTTTTTGTACTATCCCGAACTCCAAGGCATTCAGTTGTAATTTATCTTTAATGTCTCATGATAGTTGTAGGAATTTTTTTCCCTTAACAATTTCATAAAGTTAGGATGTAGGCATTTTTTCCCCAATAGTGAAAAGAACAAAGGGGAAAGAATAACAGGAAAAGGAACCATGTTTGAAAATCCAGGAATTTACATAAGAATGAAAGAATTATGAGGTATTTCTATGGATGGCAGCAGCAGATGTCCAGGCTTCTAGTATTAGTACATATTTTGAAAACTTTTAGAGGCCAATGGATCAAGTTAGAAACATTTTTAATACACTGGAACTTGAATTTGAACTAAGATCTAGGAGCCTACTGGGACCTAAAAAATGTTGATGAGTGGCTTTCAACTTATTAGTATTTATAAATATAATCAGTCTATAAATCTCATCATACTGTTTTCATATTTCCTAAAATCTCATATGCATCTCAACACATTCATTTCTCTAGACTCTTATCCACATTTGCAAATACAAAGACTATGTGCATCCTTTTGCAGCAAAATACATGCAATAATACATCTACAAACCTAGTTTACCAAAATAAAAGAAAAAAGTCAGCTACAGCAGTGTATTTATCTTTAGATCTTATTTATATGACCTTATGTGCTTTTCATATTGCTAAAATAGAAAAAAATGTACATCAGCAGCAAGCAGAAAAAGAAAAATAAACTTTTTAGAAGAGAAAAATCATATATAAAACATCTCAGGCAAGTCTTCTAGGACAAGTGTACATAAAATAAGTAAGCGGCAGCTCTAATTTCTTCTTTTCTCAGATTGTAAGTATTTTTCTTCATTTTAGAAATGAGAGAAAAGAATTTTTAAATAATCTACAATAAACTTATCACCTAGAAATAGCTTCATTTCCATTATCATATTTGTCCTTCCTTTATTGCTATTTTCAACTGTGTTTATAAACATAAGAACTAGATATTCTCACCACCTACTTAACCCTTGTTTAAACCAAAATTCAACTACATCAATAGTGTGAAGTTATTGTAAATATCAGTGCCCCTAACTTGTGATTACTATATACTTAGGGATGTCTGTACTCTGACAACAGGTATGAAATGAATGGATCTGGTGAAACATCGCACAAATAATGCTCAGGCTACTTAGGAAATGATTCAGACTTGCATGTTATCAATTATAACTTAGAAAAATGAAACTTTCATGAAAATTTCAAAGTTTCTCATAGTGATATTGACATTTATTTTTTATGTTACAGTAGCTTACAAACAACTATGGAAAGCAAAGATAAGTCAAAGGATAAGCCGGGTGAAAATGGTACAACTCATCTCATTCTATGGTTATAACTTTAGGGATGACCTCCTCAACAACAAAATATTAGTTGGTACTTTCTAATATAAAAATATACTCTTTTATTTATTGGTTCTTTTAGTTATACATGACAGTAAAATCCATTTTGACATAATTCCACAAGCATGGAATATATCTTGTTCTAACTTAGGAATGCAGTACCTCTCCTTCCCTTTCTCTCTCTCCCCACCATTTGCTCCCTTTCCTCTATTGATATTTCTGTCATTTACCCATAGTTATTTCTTTTAAGTAATTTCTTGTGGATATACATAATGGTGAGATTCACTGTGTATTTTTTTAAATTTACATAAAGAAGTTATGCCAGACATTTAAACCTACTCTTTTATTGAATAGAAAAATCTTCTGGAAAGTTTTGTTGTTTTTTTTTTTTCCCCATTCAGGACCATACCAAAGACGATGGAAGATGTGTTAGAAGTGTCATTTATGAAAAATCTAATGTTTTTTCTGCATTTTTTCTTCTTAATACTAACCCTAACCCTAACCCTTTGTGAGGCAAGTACTTTGTGTACTTGTGTAAGGGAGCAGTTACTTAATCATTCTGTTATAGCAGACTTGAATGATTACATTCTTATTTCATTTAGGGAAGTTTCTTGTTCTCATTTATTTTTAAATTTGATTTTAGCTCTTTTTTTCAACTATGAAATTTTATATCACTAACAATATATCTGAAAACTGTTTATGTTTCTTAATTTAAGTTAGTGGAGTTTGGAATTCACAGAGTTTAACCAAAGTAGTTAAAGGAATCTGAATCATTTACGCTGGAGAAGAGGAAAAAAAAATATTTCCTATAGACTTTAACTTACTAAGTTTAGATGTGAGTTTATAAAGTAATTATGATACTCTGCCCAGCTGTGCTTTATAATGTTCCTTTGCCATATATAGCACCTAGTATTAAAGACATGAAACCAAGGACAAGTGGGGAAAAATGTCATATACTCCTCTTAGAATAAGTTTTCTGAGGACAGATGCTATGCCACAATCTACCTGCACACAGTGCTTAGCAAGCCTATAACCTACAAGCAAAATTACCTTCTTCTTTAAGAAGACAGCATTATCATTGTATCAAACACAGTGTAAGTGTCTATGAGTAGGAAATATTGTATTTTTAATATGCAGTCAAAATCACAATGAATCACAATTGATGTATGATGTTTAATAAGATTGAGTGGGAAGCACTAATTAGAGGTCTACTATATTAAGTGGGAGATGGCAAATGCATCAAGGCCAGCTTACAAGGAAAGAAGGAGATAAACTGACAAATCCAGGAGAAAATGTATAGAGCTTTAGAAAAGCTCTTACATAGTGGGGATGAAGGGAAACACAGAGAAAATACAGTCAGAGCTGGGAAATGAGTGCTTTTATTATAACCATAAGAATAAGGATAGAAAGATGAATATTAGATTGAAAGACAGGCACAGATAATACTGTATGGGTATTTCCTTGGTGGAAGTGCTGTAAACCGGAAACTTATATTGTGACTCATGCTAGACTCCAGGGACAGAGTTCAAAAAGCTCTACCAAGAATGGCACCAGCAAGGGCAGGGGGTTGCATTAGTGTGAGCCTGAAAGTATGGAAGAGCTTCTAGGTAATGTTAACTTTTGCTTTTCCTCTTTGTTAAGTAATGAATCACACAGTGGCACATTCAAAGTTTATTGCTTGACACTGGATTAGTGCTTGCAAGAAATCCCCAGAAACCAGAAACATTGGGCAGCAAGGGGCTGGATGTTCATCTGCCTGATTCCATATTTAAGAAAAACATTCTATCTCCTACCGTCATCTCAGAGGGTTGGGTCTTCCCAGAAGAGAAGGGAGTTTAACAAGGAGTCAAAAACAACCACATTAACAATAGGCTAAACAAATACCTATACCTATAAATTAAATATGTAAAATACCTAAAAAATTCAAATACAAAAATTCAAATAT